AAAAAAAAATATGTGTTAACCCTGTGAAACATATGACATTGACAGTAAAGACCTTGGGTGATATCTATCAGACATTGCAGCAGACAGCGGATTACCTACAAAAGTGGTAATTTTCAATAGAAAATGGAATAATTTCCCTTGGAGGGCTTTCCTGTTAAGTGGGGGCAGAATTCAACTTTCTAGAATTACCATAGGACATGATAGAAAGACTTCCCTACAGGCCCTTCCATCTAGGCATGGAACATTTTGATGATTTTCATGGTGACAATTATAACCTCCTAGGCTATCTGATCACATGGTTAGCTGTTCGAAACTACCAGTGGTTCCATGGGAGAAAGATGAGACTTTCTGCTACCAGCCATAAAGATTTACAGCCTCAGAAACCCTATAAAGGTCGTTATGATTCGGAACTGACTCTACCACACACCACCACCACCACTAGGCTATCTGAGCTCTGAAGAAAATAGTCAATCAAAAGATTAAATCATACAAAGCATTCAGTATTTTCAGTTTCCTATAACAAAATATTTAAAACAATAAGATATCAATAGCATTTGATTGTGTTTATATAAATACTTGAATAAACAACATTTAAGAAATGCTACAATGAAACACCTCATAATATATTTCAATACACTACTAAAAAACAATCATAAAGAGCTTAACCCACTCAATATAATGTTTTATTTTTTTGCAAGCCATGTATCTTTCAGTTACATTTTTCCAGTATATTACACTCCAAATTGCTTTTAGATAATCAAGTCTGACATTTTTATAATAAAAGTAGTATGCATGCTCCCACCCATCAATCCCCAGCAGTGTTATTCTGACCTGTTGTTCCTTGTAATGGGTCCTGATTGGAACAAGAAGCAATTTGTAAGAATCCCCGCTCCTTTTTGAAACCAAGCCAACTCCAACCTGGACATTGCACACCAACAGATACAGTTAATTTCTCCTTAAACTTGTCAATGGAACTAAAGTCACGTTTGATGGCTTCCAGCAACTCCCATTTGGGTTTTCCATTAGGACTCAAGTTTGTCCAGAAAATGCTCTGATTGATATGGCCTTCGCTGGTGAACTTCAGTGCAGGCTGCAGAGCTACCTGGTTTGTAGCATTACCCTTTGCCAGTACCTTTTTATATTTTTCCTCCATGGCATTATTCTCATAGGTGGTGTGGTGTTTGCTGTGATGCAGTTGCATGATTTGTGTGTTAACATGAAGCTCCAGGGCACTATAATTTTAAGGTAAGTCAGGCAGGCTGTGCTTTTCCCTGGAGCCCAGAGGTTCCAGAGTTAATATCAGCTTCAAGGCGTATGCTGCATGCCTCCTGGCACAACATGGTGTTGTGTGGATGCCCTGGCTGATCTCACCAAATGCCGATGGTATATTGCTTTCAAATTAGCCTGTGAAATACTGCGACTTTCAGTGTCCATCTCTTTTGGGTCACTTTTTCTGGAGATTGCCACTAAGTCATGATCAATGCTTTACCGAGGAACTGAGTATTGCCAACCATCACCATGAATAAGCTTAAAAGTGTTTATACTAGTTCTAGTCCAAGACCAGTTTTCAGACGACTGGAACCAGAGCTGAGAGCTTGACTACAACCTTATGAGCTAAAATCACCAATCTAAGTTCTCCTGAATTCCTGAGTTTCCAAAGCTATGTGAAATAATAAAACTTGTGTTGCTTTAAACTGTGGAATTTGGAGGAATTTGTTATGGAGCATTAGTTGGGCTGATGCTGTAGGATAAGTACTGGATAAGGTTGGCAGTTCAAATCCACCAGTCACTACTCAGAAATCCTATACCGGAGTTCCTTGAAATGAGACTGTAAACCAAATTCAATCTAATCACTATGATTCAGTTAATTCTGACTCATAGTGACCCTATATAGGCTTCCAAAGGCTATAAAACTCCTGACATGGAACTGTAGGATAAACACTGGACCTCAAGTTTGGTTTTTCAAATTCACCAACTGCTCCTCAGAAACCTAAACAGGGTCACTATGACTCAGGAGTGACTTGATGACATTTAACACAAACAACAAATAGTTTCAGTAACAGACAGCTTTATCATCTTTCTTCCATGGAACATGCGGTAGGCTCAAACTACCACCCTTGCAGTGAGGAACATAAGGCTTAATTCACTAGCCACAGGGAGAAAAATCAATCACATCTAATGTAAGAGAAAGCAACTCTTTAGAATTCAAACTCCTTATCATTTTTAAAGCACTCATCTAGAATCTAATTTATGGAGACTAAGAAGCTTCAGGTAAATTAACCTGAGTTCTTAAAAAGTATTATCTAAATCTTAGTATTCTGAGTAAAACTGAATTTATTTCAGTCATAAAAAAATAAATTTTGTAAGAAATAATTATGAACAATATATCTACATGTATGTGTATGTCTCCACCACTCATCTGTCAGTTGTCACACTGTGGTGGCTTCTGAGTTGCTATGATACTGAAAGCTATACCACAGCTATTTTAAATACAGGAGGTTCACCCACAGTGGACAGGTTTCAGATGAAGACAGACTAGGAAGAAGGAGAGATGAACTAATTCAAAACATTTAGCCACTGAAAAACTTACGAATAACAGAGTAACACTGTCGATATGTTGTTGTTGTTGTCAGGTGCCATTGAGTCGGAACTGACTCATAGCGACCCCATGCACAGCAGAACGAAACAATGTCCAATTCCGGGCTAACATCACTACC